CTTAATAACTCTGCGGACGACCTGGGAGACCTCGCACCTGCAAACAGGAAAGAAGGGAAACTGGATCAACCCAAAGCGCGTCCACGGACACAGAAGCCGTGGCACGCAAATAACGGCAGAGAGACGCAACCGGACACAAAACATGATCCACCCCCGGCCTAACAAACCAAGCAACAACAACTCAAGGACCCCTCCGGAAAGCAGTAGTCTCGCTCTTCCCCAGAAAAGAAGGAGAAGGCTGTAGACGAACAAACCGACCGCTCCAACCAAAGGAGCAGAAACCCCAGCGCCGGAGGAGAGCATGAATCTCTCCAACCCGACCCCCAGAGGCTAATGCCAATAGGAAAAGAGCCTTCAAAAAACAATCTGGAACTGAAGGGACCACAACAAACTGAGAAGAAAAGAGAGCACTCTGTCCAAAGACCAGGACGGCTCAGGCGGCGCATGAGCAGGCCAGAGGTGAAACAATGCCCGAGACAGCTTCCGAAACGGTGCAGACGTAACATCAATACCGAAAGCAAGCTGAAGCAGCTCCGCCAGTGCCGCTCAATACGAGGCGACAGTGTTAGGCATAAGATGATGGTCCTGGAACAACCAAGAGAGAAAGGACAACACCACACTAACAAAGTGAAGAACAACGACGAAGACGTAAGAAGAACCGGAAGGAAACCTCATACTGCCGCTGAGAAGAAGCTCGCTGGTGGGACCCTAACAAAGAATCCACCTGACCACCAGAGAGATGATGATAGACTCGAGTAAAAAAAAACATACGCGAAGAATCGAGATCGAGCCATCCACGTGACGTACCGGTCAGATCTGCTGGAAGAGGCGGAGCCGCTGGAAAACCGTGTTTTGACACCGGACAAGCAGCGCCTGAAACCACGGCTGGGCCGGCCACCATGGGACAACTCTCCCCTGGTAAGTCTCCAAGCGAGTCAGGACGCGGAGCAACAGCGGAACCAGGGAAAAGAGGTAAAGGAACCCTCACCTCGACCAGTCCTGCCGGAAGGCATCGACCCCGACGGCCTCGCAGTCAGGGAAGGGCGCCACTTACTGGGGAAGGCGCCGCGACCATGCCGACACAAAGAGGTCCACCTCGGGGCGCCCGAACGTCTGGCAAAGCGAATGGAAGGAGTCGGCATTGACCGTTCATTCCGTGGAGTGGGGAACGAAACGAGGCAGGCCGTCGGCCAAGATGTTGGACACTCCCCGCATGTGAACTGCTAGGAGAGCCAAACCTTAAGAACTCGGCAGACGAGTCACGCAAAGCGACCAGCACCAAAGAGCCAAGGACCGCATCAAACCCCCCCCCCCCCCCGTGTTCAGACAATGAACCACCGGGGAGCAGTCCGAATAGAGCGGGATCCTAAGAGCCAATGCCGAAGCGGATTCCACAGAGGAGGCAAGCACCTCATGATGACACGTGAGCCGGGAAGCATAAAACAGCGCAACCGCATCCCATAAAATCAACACGAAAAGCTTCAGCAAGGCAGCCGACAAGCGAGCCGCCGAGGCCAAGGCGCCAGAACCCGGAACAGCCCCAAGCGCCCCCACATCCTCCGTGAGCCAGTCGGAAGATACCTCGAGGAGGAAAACGAAGCGCAAGGCCGAAGCCACAAGGCCCAAGATGCGCAAGTCCTCAGCTACCTGCACATAAAGCTGAACGACACCAACATCCCAGGGAATGGCAGGAGCAAACAAGCACTCATTGAGGTGCTCAAGGTCGCCTTCCAGGAAAATCTGCAGCACCATCGAAGCCTCCCGCCACTCAAGTGCACGGGAACGGCAGAAGGAGTGCCAAGCCTCCAAGGAAAAGACAGGACAGTCCGCCAGCCAGGAAGACTCCGGAATTTCGTAACAGAGCCAGAAAAGGAACGAAGTTCCAAACCTGAAAGCCGAGGGATCCATTGCCGAGGCATAATCCAGGTCACGCAGGAGGTTTGCCGCATGGGCCATCCGCACCGCAGCAAGTTGGATGCAATAAGCCGAAAACCTCCGGAAAGACGGAACCGAAGCACCCGGAGGGACATGAAACCGAACCAGGGGAGGGGCAGACACTAAGTCCAATTCGTATGCAGAGGGGGAAAAGAGAACCCCACTTCTTGTAACAACAAGCCCCGCTCAGAGGGCAGAAAAACCCAAGCAGGGTCCAGCGGGGCCCAAGGCCCCTAAGTCAGCCCCTCCCCTGCCCCAAGGTCCTCCTCCGCAGGATCCGGGGCCGAGTCCTCTCCCCCAAGCACCGACCTCACCAAACAAGGCCGATGCAGCCGTAGAAACCGAACAGAAGGGGGGCCCACTGGCCAGACCCAGAGGCTTCGGCCGGGGGACTAGACTCAAATGCCTCCGCTGCTACACCGGAAGGGGCATCCCCCGAGGCTGCCCAAGTCTCAAGACCAGCTAACCCTGGCCGACAGAATGCTTCCAACCACACAGGGGTTTCTATAGGCCATTGCTCCCCTTGCCTCTCTAGGTCAGGTTCTGGCTCGTGGTCCCCGGTAGGTCCAAAGAACTCCATACACATGACTGATGCCAAAGCCTGACATTAGCATATCAACCTAGTAAGCTCAGGGGAGCTGTAGGGGCAGCCCCAGAAAATCCTCCGAGTTAACAAGGAATAATTGTACAATGCTCTTGCTTCCAATAGACTGTGATAGTCTCGTGAATACCTGAAGTGTAATTTCTTTGCTCTGAGAGCCAGAGCACAAGCCAGGGCAGCCACTGAAGAAAGGCTCCTGGAAAGATATTCACTTTGTTCACACGAAGAGTGAGGGAGTCAAGCATCAGTGAAGTACTGTATACAGATGCATGAGAGGGTAGAGAGGTACTGAAGATAGATGCATGAGAGGGTAGAGAAGTACTGTATACAGATGCATGAGAGGATAGAAAAGTACTGTATATATAGATACATGAGAGGGTTTAGAAGTACTGTATATAGATGCATGAGAGGTTATAACAAAGGGGAATAAGGTAATTATCAGGGGAAAGCACCCAGCCATTACGACTATATAGTACTTGGAAGGGGTCAGGATAAGGATTTGGGATGGAATGGGGGAAGGAATGGTGCCCACCCACTTGGACGGTCGGGGATTGAATGCCGACCTGCAGGAAGCGAGACCATCGCTCTACCGTCCAGCCCAAATGGTTGGGCAAACACAAAGGGGAAGTTAACAAGATTTTTAAAATATCAACACAGGATAGAACTTGAAACAATGGATATAGATTGGCTAAGTTTAGGTTTGGAAAGAGATCCAGATAAATACTGGTTTGTAAACAGGGTTGTTGATTTATGAAATAAATTTCTGGATAACATAACATACAAGAGATTGATGGATTGCTTCAAGTGTACGTTAGACATACTGTATATATAAATAAGTTTTGGTGGATATATATACGAGCTGCCTCACACAGGTCAATAGGTTTTAATTGTTATGCTTTTATGAATTAAAAGTATTTTATTTTTTTAATGATCACTTAGATTTAACAAACACTTTCTGAACTTAACTTAAACAACAAAAATTCTTAGTTAAGGTGAGGCACATGATTAATATATAAATTAATCCCAAGCAGAATGCTTAATCAAAGCATATTTTATTAAATAAAATATATTCATGCTATGATACAATTGAAAATTAAAACGGTCTTTTGCTGAAGATATTGCAAATAAATACTTCAATGTCCATCCTTCTCATTTCTACTTGCCAATTATACCAGTCTCTTAAGTGTATTGTCACTATTAAACTAAAAATATAAAACATTTATTTTCTAAACTAACATAAATACAGACAATAAAATGAGCTGAAGATCATGTACCGAAACAACATGGTGCTGAATAACCCAAGCTGTACCAGCACTGGCCTGAGGCTTCAACCTCAACATACAAGTAATTATTAAATAAAGGTATCAAGTTGGGAAGACTTTGTAGCAAACTGAAATGTAACGTAAGGTAATTATAAGGAGGAAGCTTTTTTTATTTATTTATTTATTTATATACAAGAAGATACATTGGGGGTTAAGAGAGAACATAGGAATGAAGTTTATTTTACATTCTTATAAAGTCAATATAGCACGCATAGTGTTTCGGGCAAGTAATAATGACACATGAACACTACTTTATTAAAGTCCAGTTAGGATTCTGGAGGTCATCAGTATAACAGAGACATATAGGTTTTATTCTTAATATTAAAGAACAAATAGAAAGAGGATGCGTCCAGTGTACATGTATATTTCGCCAATAACTTCGTGCCTATGACGAAGGGATAGTTGAATTCTAGATTTGGATGGACACGTAAGTCCTCCTCCACATATGCGTCGCCCCCCATGTGTAACCTCAGTTTTTTGGGAGGACTTTTCTCAAGTCCTATTCTCTTTAAATATAACATTGAGACATACGTCTCATGCGCCCCCGTATCGATGTGTATTTTGTTTGTGCAATTGTCAGGTTCTGATAAAGTTGGAAGTGAGATTCTAAGGTGTAATTATCTGGACGTACACAACCCAAACCCTTTATTTTGAAACCTTCGGAGATTCTTGAAATAGAAGTCAGAATTATCCTGCTTAAACTGCTGTATTACATGGTACTCAGTCATGAGAGGGAAACTAAAGAAAAGCACGGGGTCCGGGTCTATGTTGAAAAAATTATCCATTTCTGGCGGGTAAATTTTGACTTTAGTGACCAACTCCTTGTTGTTTTCTAGTTATAATTTAACATTTTCGACAGTCTTAATACTAAGGTTTCTGACTCCGTTATATAAGCAGATTTTGCAATTGTTGGTGGCGGATACATTCTTATCCAAACCAAGTTTTCTAGCATCTTTGTTTTTTATCAAATTGATTGAAGTGCCGGTGTCCACAGCCAAGGTGCAGGACTCACCGTTCACCTTCGCTTGGAGGAAATTGTGGCCCTTCAGGGCAATCTTCTCCAAGCCCTTCAGGGATGGAGGCTCAGTGAGTATAGGGGGCTAAAGCAGGTAGATTGTTAGGACCTCTCCGTCAGGACTGACCTCGTATATAGTGGCGTCATCGGTGTATTTTAGTCTTTTTCCGGGACCATTGATAGTCTGGCGGCCATCCTCCTTCCTCTTGCAGCCACGGCCCACCACTTGTTTGGTCTGTGTGTCCATGACTAGACGGGTGAAGGGAGAGGAAGACAAGAGATAAAGCACGACTCCTCGTCTTCGCTTACCTTACAGTGAGTCGCGCTCTCTGACCACCAAATTATATCCTACTTACATTATATTTAGTCAAGCAACTATAACATCTTTAACTTGCAATTTATCTTTTATATTTGTAAACAAATATAAAACTTTATGTATTACCAAATACTCTTTGGTAAATACATACGCACTGTATAGTTTGTGTTACAAATATTTAAATAGTTAAGAGCCGCCAAATCTGAATATTTTGCGCAGTTTTGGAGAGTAAACAAAGTACGAGAAGGTGCAGCCCCGCTGGAGCAGTTCCAACAACGCGCGCCCATATTGGTAAACAAACATCTAAGTTAAATTACTACGTCTTTCCTTGTAATAAAAAATGTAAGTTATAAATATATATAATGACGGAATACTTTACTTACAAATACAAATGTAAATAATTTAGCAGGCTCCTAGGGAGGTTAATGTTGTGCGGCGTTTGGAAGACTGAACCAATTTGAGAAAAAGTGGAAGCCTCTTGAGGAGGGATACACTTGGGACATTGACCAGCTCGCACACTAATATATTTACTATTTCGGACACCAGCTTTGAACGTTTCGTATATATTTAATTGTTCAATATCAAAACCACAAGATAATGCTATTAACAGTTAAAATCGTCTACTTAACAGGCATAGAGTTATTAAGTTAAGTTTAGTATCGAACTATCATCGAATATGATCATTGCTGTCTTCTTATATGTGCTGTCATTCTGCTGTATGGTGTTTATTAATCTTGTTTGTCTATTGCTACCCAGTCTCCCAATCTTTATGTACCCAATCTGAACATCTTTACCATTGTGATCATTGCTGTCTTATATGTGCTGTCAATCTGCTGTATGGTGTCTATTAATCTTGTTTAAATTACTAATCAAGCTGTCAATGTAATCAATCAGAGCTTTAATATAACAATGTGCTTTAATACACTTACTAAGCTCTCTCATCTCATTTTTCTCTTGTAATGTATCTTTATCATTTATCAATTCTGATAGAAATTTCCTACTTAAAATTATCTGTTGGATTAAGGACCTGCCCGAAACGCTGCGCGTACTAGTACTCACCTAATTGTACTCACCTAATTGTGCTTGCGGGGGTTGAGCTTTGGCTCTTTGGTCCCGCCTCTCAACTGTCAATCAACTGGTGTACAGATTCCTGAGCCTACTGGGCTCTATCATATCTACATTTGAAACTGTGTATGGAGTCAGCCTCCACTTTGGCTGTACAAGAGTGTAAATACTGTACTATCCAATGTATTCTCACAAACCCAATGTACCTTCTTGTATATATATAAATAAATTTAATAAATAAATAAATAAATAAAAACTAGAGGGTTCAGTTCCTGAACCGATTATGTGCCTCTGTAATCCTTTACACCACCGCCCACGGGATGGGTATGGGGTGCTTAATAAAGAAAGAAATTGAATTGGATAAACTCCTATTACAGCGGAATGTTCAAGCGGAAGAGGCTGGCTGTGCCCATCAATCAACGAGACAATTTTGTCGCTCATGTGTCAGAATGGTACAGTTCATCTGAGCCTTCATCAGTTGAAGATTTTAACAATGAGCTCATAGGTACTATCGAGCAGTTTATAGAATCTGCCATTGTGATCAAAGTATTGCAGGATAAGTTAAATTATTCGATCCAAAAAAATGACATCAAAGCAGCTTATAGAGTGGGTACCAAATCATCTGGTACTAATAATAGGCGTATTCGTTTAAAATTAGATAGCTGCTCCCGCAAGACTGGTCTTATCTCATCTGCAGTTGCTAGTAAATCCACTGTTTATGTGAATGAATGTCTGACCAGGTGCAGGCAAAATCTCTTTTTTAAACTGCGTGGCTTCTGCAAAAATTCCCCTACAATTAAACACTGTTTTGTGCGAGATGGTAAAATTATAGCTAGGAGGACTAACACTGGAAAAACCTATTCAATAACCACAGAAGCTCACCTTAATTCTTTCCTCAGTGACTGTGGGATAGCGGCTGTATAGCCTGAATTCAGATTATAATCTCATATAACTACCTTTGTGTACTCTAGCTCTGCCTTTCCCTTCAAAAGGTTTTAACTTTAGTTTAAAAAAAAAAATAAAAAGAATAATATTGTCATCTTTATTATTGTCTTTTTTTTTTTTCTTTTTACTCCCATGTTCCATAGTACACTGGCTTTGCCTGTGTCCTCTAGTATTAACTTTATTATCCAGTGTTCCTGAGTGTATCTCTATTTAAACTACCTCAGTTTGTTTTAGTGTAACTTTAGTATTCAATTATAGTGTACTTATAATAGTATAGTAAGCAAGCTTATTATCTTATAGATTTCATAATTGTTTTTTTACTTTTTTGGTCATCTATTGTTATTAATTATTCTAGTTAATTTTTTACATTCCTAGTTCCCATAAAGTTTTTTTTTTCTCTTTACTTAAAATTACCATTAAGTTTATTTTACTTTAGAATTTTTAATCTACTTTTTTCTTTGTTTTCTATTTTGTAATTTGCCATTCTTACCTTGTTTTCCTGCAATCAGCCTTTTTATGCAGACAAGTATAGACCCAGAACTAAACCTCTTATCCACTATCTATGACAATCATCACTTCAATGATCAAAATTGCAGATATTTTACAGCACATGATGTAAACAATGTATTAACAGATAATCTCAATATCTCTGTAATCAACTTGAACGTTAGATCCCTAGGTAAACACTTCGATGATGTTAGTGCCTTGATTGAAACTATTGACAACAAATTCTCTTTTATTATACTTACTGAAACGTGGTTGAAAGAGGATAATACTCAACTCTTTAACATGCCTAACTACTCGGCAATTCACAACTGTCGTCAAATGCAGAGAGGTGGTGGTACTGCTCTTTACTACCACCAAGAACTAACATGCTTAAAAATAATTAGAACTAGAGACTGCTGTGGGGAGTATATCTTCGCCAGTTTCAGAGTCAAGGGTGCCGAGTCTGTCCTGTCTGTGGGTGCAGTCTATAGAATTCCTAACACTGATGTGTCTGAATTCAACTCAAACCTTAGAAATCTAATACTAGATAACAGATTGAACAAAAACCATCTAATTATCGCAGGGGACTTTAATATTGACCTCTGCGAGCCTGAACACCCTACTGCTGTTAGCTTCCTCAACTGTATGAATTCCTGCTTCCTCATACCCTTAATCACTAGACCAACTAGAATCACTGATAGTACTGCTACGACTCTAGATCACATCTGGACCAACATAACCTCTCCGCTTACTTCAGGTATAATCACCGATAGCACTACAGACCATTACCCCACATTTCTCTTAACTAACATTAGCAAACCACCTCTAGAGACAAGGGAGTTAAGCTTTAGGCTGCACAATGAAACTGCTATAAACAATTTTATAACTGCTGCTGATAATGTCAACTGGGAGTCCGAGTTAGGTAACATAGGGGACATCAACCTAGCAGTGAAATCTTTTCTACAAACAACTCTTAGCCTTTATAACACCCACTGTCCTATGCTTACAAAACAAGTCACAAGCAAAAGACTTAACAATCCTTGGCTTACAAAGGGAATACTTAAATCCATTAACAAAAAACACGACCTTGAGAAGAAGTATAGGCTAGGAACAGTCTCCAAAGAATTCTCAAAGAATTACTCGTTATTGCTATCTAAAATAATTAGACGAGCCAAAACTAAATACTATGAAGATAAATTTACCCAAATAAAGAGCAACATTAAAAAAACTTGGAGCACAATTTCACAAATATTGGGATCAAAGAAGATTTTAAATAACAAACCAACACTCCTTTCCAATAACGTTGGTCAGCTTTCAGCCTCTGATTCTGCTATTGAGTTCAATAGGTTCTTCTCTTCCATTGGGTCATCCCTTGCAAATGATATTCCATCTTCCTGTACTGATGTTAAGGACTATCTTACAGGTAACTATCCACAGTCTCTGTACCTAAAGCCTACTAGTTCCACTGATGTCAATGAAATAATCCTTTCCCTTAAAACCAAGTCTAGTGCCCTCGAGGAGATACCAACTTTAATTTACAAAAAAGCCTCCAGATCTCTAGCCCCTGCTATTGCATTGCTCTTCAACAAGTCACTTGAACTCCAAACCTTTCCTGACATTCTAAAAAAAAGCAAGAGTAACCCCTGTCTACAAATGTGGTGATCTCACTGATGTTAACAACTACAGACCTATATCAATCCTGCCTAACTTGTCAAAAATATTCGAAAAGCTAATCTACAAGCAGCTTTACTCTTTTCTAGCCAAACACAATATACTTAGCTCTTGTCAATATGGCTTCAGACCCCAAAAAGCACTAACGATGCACTTATTAGTATGATTAACTTAATTCACACAGCTCTTGATAAAAAGGAGTTTCCTGTTGGGTTATTTGTGGACCTGCGTAAGGCTTTTGACACTGTCAACCATCAAAACCTTCTTCTTAAATTACATCATTATGGAGTCAGAGGACACTCCCTGCAATACCTCAAATCTTATCTTACTGACAGGCTCCAGTATGTTTCTGTGAATAATACAATTTCTCCCACCCTACCCATCAACATTGGTGTTCCTCAGGGCAGCATACTTGGCCCTCTCCTCTTTCTCATCAACATTAATGACCTTCCAAATGCCTCCCAACACCTCAAACCAATTCTATTTGCTGACGACACAACCTTCATTTACTCCAGTCCTGACCCCCTTGCTCTAAATGCCACAGTAAATACTGAGCTAGAGAAAGTCCATCTTTGGCTAACTGCCAACAAACTCACCCTTAACATTGACAAAACTTTCTATATTCTGTTTGGCAATAAATCCTCTAATCAGATAAATCTCAAAATAAACAATCCCCAAATTTGTAACAAATTAGATGGCAAATTCCTTGGCGTTCTCATCGACCACAAGCTGAATTTCCAGGGTCACATTCTAAATATATCAAAAAAAGTTTCAAAAACTGTTGGCATTCTTTCTAAGATCAGATATTATGTACCCCGCCCTGCCCTGGTGAC